CAATGTTGGATCAGGCCAAAGGCCCATCCAGTCCAACACTCTGTCACGCAGTGGCCAAAAATACCAGGTGACATGAGGTCCACCAGTGGGGCCAGAACATTAGAAGCCCTCCCACTGTTGACCCCCCCCCCAGCACCAAGTTGCGTCTTTGGAGCCTCCTTGAGGCTTTCTGTCACCCCTTTGAAGGTCACTGTCCAGAGGATACACTTGGCTACACTCAGCAGTTATTCCAAAGATTGGCCGTATAGGTGGACATCGGCCCAAGAAGTAAGCATTAGAGTACTTACGCTTACGTACCGGTAATGAGCAGCTTTGGTTTTAGTGTACTCCAGGGGACACAAATGATGTGGAGCGACAGTGAGGCTGAATAGGTCTGGTCAGTGACTCTGGGAAACTTTCTGCACCCCAGCGTCCCTTTTGGTGCACGGGGTTCTGTAGCAGATGCTATGGAAAGGAGCCAGCTTGCAAACCGCTGAGTTGGGGAACAAAGCAGGGCCTGTGGCTCTCAACATGAGCGAAGCCCTGGTGTGGATCAGACCGATAGTCCATCTGGTCCGGCATCCCGTTTTACACAGTGGCTAATCAGATGCCCTGGGAAGAGATCCGTACGCAGGGGCGCAAAGACCAAGGCCTCTCCGTGTAATTGCCCTCCTACCGCTGGCATTCAGAGGCCCTGCCCTTCTGCATCAGAAGCTCCGTGTCGCCCTCATGGCTATTAGCCACTGATTGCCCTCTCCTCTTCCATAGATTTTTCTAATCCCCATTAAAAGCAGTCACTATTTCCTGGGGCAGCAAGTTCCACAGGTTAGCGACACCCTGGAAACATTTCCTCCCAGCCACAGTGTCACTGCCAGAACAAGGAGAGAGCTGTGCAGCTCGTTGCACTGTGTTTCCCCGTGGCATGGCAGCACCACATTCCTCTGAGGGCAAGAGGGGTTGTGGGTTGAGCCCCTAAGACAGTGGTGGCGAACCTATGGCACGGGTGCCAGAGGTGGCACTCAGAGCCCTCTCTGCGGGCATGCATGCCATCGCCCCAGCCAGTCTCAGACCATTAAGTGTTGAATTCTCTGCCAAATAATTTTAAGTAAATGAAAGCATTTGGGATTGCTTTCCTTACTTTGTTTGGATCATCTTAAGTTAATGTATGAGTTGTTTTTTCTCAAGTAAAACCTCAATATTTGGGTTAAATTGCCGTGTTGGCACTTTGCGATAAGTGGGTTTTGGGTCGCAGTTTGGGCACTCGGTCTCTAAAAGGTTCGTCATCCCTGCCCTAAGACAATCACACATCCAGATCTAATTTTCAGAGGTCACAGTTATCTGGCTGCCAGTTGCTGGTGCTTTTACCCAGAAGTCAGGTGAGCAGAGCCATGCCTTTTGTCATGCCTCTCTGTATCTGATTCCCAAGCTGCTGGGCAAACTGTGGAGAGTCATTTCTTTCACACAGCAGACTCTTAAGCATACTGGGGGGGGGGGAGCTAAGAACATAAGAGAAGCCAATGTTGGATCAGGCCAGTGGCCCATCCAGTCCAACACTCTGTCACAAAGTGGCAAAAATACCAGGTGCCATCAGGAGGTCCAGCACTGGGGCCAGGACACTAGAAGCCCTCCCACTGTTGCTCCCCACCCCCACCCCGCCCAAGCACCAAGAATACAGAGCATCCCTTGCCCCAGCTTGAGAGTTCCCATCTTCTGCTCCATATGTTTATCTAATTCCCTCTTGCAGGACCCATGGAACAAATCTTAGATAAATCGCCATCAGACTATGAGAGGCGCGCAATTAGCTTTTCCTTCTGTCTCTTCTCCCTCCGCCAGATGTCTCACACCAAGCCTTACATCAGGAAGAAGGCAGTGCTAATCATGTACAAAGTGTTCTTGAAATACCCTGAATCCCTTCGGCCTGCATTCCCTCGCCTTAAGGAGAAACTGGAAGACCCTGATCCCGGTTAGTGAGTAGAGCTGAAACAGGAACGAGAAAGTTTTGCCTTGCGTGGGGAGGGCATATCTGATAGCAGTCAAACTGGCGAGGGACAAATCTCAAAAAATGAAATGGAGTAAGAACCGGGAGGGGTGTGTGTGTGTGTCTATAGCAGTGAAAAGTTTTCTGGATGTCTGGAAGTTTTGACTGGTTTTCTCCTTCCTTTTCCACTCCGGTGTCCAAAATCTCATCCATGTTCTCCACTTGGGCCAAAGTTGATGTGATGCCCCGTCCAACTCCCTCTCATTAGACTGGAACCTGTGGTGGATTTCCATGGGCAGAAGAGATGTCCATGTGATTTTCACAGACATCCACCACCCCCTGTGGGACCTATGACTCCCCCCCTTTCCCCCTGGAGCAGCGCTTCGGGGGTGTTTCGAAGGGAATCGGGGAAGTCACTCTCCGCGGGCGGAAATCCCTTCCGTCTGTAGAAATTTTCTCTGGGATTCACGCCAGCATCTAGGCTACATTCCTCGTGCTGTAGTGCCTCTGTATTTTGCATTTCCTCCCTTGGCTGGCACAGCAGCTGTCACCTGCAGCCTGGCGCCAGGGCAGAGGCATTCGGCTGGATGTCGGGGAGAAGGGAACCCAGTACTTAGATGCTGTTCTTGGTGCTTCTTCTGTAGCTTCAGTGAAAGGCTGGACCAAACAAGAAGAAGAAGAGAAGAGATTGAATTTATACCCTGCCCTTCACTACCCAAAGGTGTCTCAGAGCGGCTGACAAACTCCTTTCCCTTCCCCTCCCCACAACAGACACCCTGGGAGGTCGGTGGGGCTGAGAGAGCTCTAACAGAAACTGCCCTTTTTTCAAGAACAGCTCTTATCAGAACTACGGCTTGCCCAAGGTCATCCATCCAGGTGCAAGTGGAGGAGTGGGGAATCAAACCCGGTTCTCCCAGGTTAGAGTCCGCGCACTTAACCACTACACCAAACTGGCTCTCTGCCTTGGAGCTGTACACCCCCTTCCATTTTCCACTGCTTTGGTCCAGTGGCTGAAGTGTAGGGTTTTAAATATACTCTCACGTGCCAAGATCTGTTCCCGTCATGTTGGCAAGCGGTCTCTGCCTTAATCCTCCTCCTCTGTACTGTGGAAACAGTCAAGAGCTTCTCTGAAAGAGTAAGCTGGCGGCAAGGCCAGAACACAACTCAGAAGCAAGATTTCCAGTTGAGAGTTCTTGCACGTGTGAAGGAAGGATTGGGGAGAGCTTGTTTCCCGGTGTTATTTCTGGGAGATGGCCTGGTTTTACACACAGCCTTGAGACAAAACGTATTTGTGTCAGCTCACTGAGGTCAGAGAGAACAAGGAGATCAATCTGTCGCTGACTGTGAACCGTCAGTGGAAATAACTCACTACCTTCGGGCCTTCTTTCCTTGCCTTCCCCAATGCTTCTTGGTGCTTGCTTTGAAAATCCTTTCTGATGGTCAGGAGAACTTTGCAAACAAAGTGCGGTGTGGTGTGGAGGAGCTGCAGCAACAAAGTAGAATCAAGTAAAATTGCATCCTCCTCCTCCTGCTTGCCGCTTGTGTCAGCAGAGGAGGGAGAAGACAGTGAATTCCTGTTCTCACTGCGGTGGCTCACAGTGTTGTGAATCTTCTTTGCATGGCTCTCCCTCTCGGAGAAGATTTTTGGGACAAAGAGTGAGCTGCTTGGGGAAAGGTCTGTTCGGCCAGCACCTCCTGTGAAGTCTTCAGTTGGATCCAGCCCATAGTTTTGTAGTTTGGTTGTAAAAACAAAGCATAGCTTGCTATAGAAACCAAAGTTTAACTGGCCCTACGTAGCGAGGAGGTTGTTGGGGGGGGGGTGCTGCCCTTTTTGCAAAACCTCGAACTGCGGCTATGTCTAAAACAGGCTATAGAGACAGAGGAAGGTGTATATTTCACAGCAGTCACTCCTGGATTGGAATTCTGCGATGAACAGGGCAGAAATATACCACAGGATGAGAGTGCCTTTCTGAGAGCCAGTTTGGTGTAGTGGTTAAGAGCGGCGCACTCTAATCTGGAGAACCAGGTTTGATTCCCCACTCCTCCACATGCAGCCAGCTGGGTGACCTTAAGTCAGTCACAGTACTTTCAGAACTCTCAGCCCCATCTACCTCACAGGGTGTCTTTTGTGGGGAGAGGAAGGGAAGGAAATTGTAAGCCGCTCTGAGTAAAGGGTAGGGTATAAATCCAATCTCCTTCTCCTCTTTCTCTATGCTACACTCATCTGCTCCCCCTTCCTCCTTGACAGAGGTTGTCCCACATGTTTAACTGGGTACTAGGAGTGTTGCTGTAGTTTTGTTGTGTCCGTGACCCTTTTGCTTCTTCAAACCCACTTGTTCAGATAACACCCCCACCCTTCTCTTCCAGGGGTCCAGTCGGCTGCTGTGAATGTTATATGTGAGCTCGCCCGTCGTAATCCGAAGAACTATCTCTCCCTCGCTCCGCTCTTTTTTAAGCTGATGACGTCCTCCACCAACAATTGGGTCCTCATTAAAATCATCAAACTGGCAAGTCTCAGCAGGCCCTGGGGCTGGCCCTCCTTGTTAGCAGAGGGTGCGAAGCGAGCAGCAGACCTGTCGCTTGCAGGCGGAGTGGTTGGGAAGAAGGGAAGAGAGGCAGGCGGCATGCATAATGAGCTTAGGGAAGTGTCATCTGCATCTGGAAGCGTTAAAAGCTGGGGCGGGGGGCGGGGAGAGATGAAATGCACAAGACTGCAGAGGATGATGCCTTCCTCGACTAGGAACCTGGACAGTAAAAGGGGCCTTCGGCACCTGTGCTCTTCAGTAAGATCACCTGTATTATAGGAAGGTCAGTGGCGCAAGGCAAAGGGATCGGACCAGTTGCTGCGGGAAGCCACATCTGGTTGGCAGATTCTGAGTCTGTCTCTTAATGGACCTGCTTTGTGCTGAATCAGACCATGGTTCCATCTACCTCTGTACTGTTGACTCATGGCAGTTGGAGGTGCAGGTGTTTGAACCCTGAATTTTTCTGCTTGCGAAACTGAACAATGGGCCCTTCCACAGAGGTGTGCCAACTCACAGGGAAGCCTGCTCGGGGAGCCCCCTACTGCAGCAGGTGGGCATTCCATCACCCTCAGGGCAAAGATGGAGCAAAAGCACCTGTCCTCAGAGAACGTTGCATCTCTGCACAACACGCTGTTTGAGCCGTGGCTCATTCCGGTCAGGAAGCGCAGTCCTACAGAAATGTAGGGCTTGGATTCTCTGAGAGCAGGTAACTTTTGGACCAGTTGCTGCGGGAAGCCACATCTGGTTGGCAAATTCTGAGTCTGTCTCTTAATGAACCTGCTTTGTGCTGAATCAGACCATGGGTCCATCTACCTCTGTACTGTTGACTCACGGCAGTTGGAAGTGCAGGTGTTTGAACCCTGAATTTTCTGCTTGCGAAACTGAACAATGGGCCCTTCCACAGAGGTGTGCCAACTCACAGGGAAGCCTGCCCGGGGAGCCCCCTACTGCAGCAGGTGGGCATTCCATCACCCTCAGGGCAAAGATGGAGCAAAAGCACCTGTCCTCAGAGAACGTTGTATCTCTGCACAACACGCTGTTTGAGCCGTGGCTCATTCCGGTCAGGAAGCGCAGTCCTACAGAAATGTAGGGCTTGGATTCTCTGAGAGCAGGTAACTTTTTACCCTTGCACTCTGCTCTTCCTGGGTTTTTAGTTATCTGAAGTATCGAAAGTTCTGAGTTAGTCTCTCTAAACACGTAGAGAGCTGTGTTGGCTGTGGAGATGCCAATACAGTCTTAGTTATGCTTAACTCTCAAAAATAAGCCCTGCCTAAGAACTAGAAGGAGAGAGATGGTAGCTCATGTATTGTGACTTCTGTGTCGAAAGAGAGAACATCTCCTTAGTTGGGTGTCACCCAGGTAACTTGACTAACAGCAAGTTCAGGATAGGCACAACCAGGGGTCATTTCCGGCAGGAGCGCACAGGAGCGGAGCTCCGGCAGTAAAGAGCCTAGGGGGCGAGCACATGCAACAAACCCCACCCCCTGCTCCCAGCAGCCCCAAGTCAGAGCAAGAAGCAGCCAGGTAAGTTGCAGAGCCCCCGGCCCCCCGGCCCAAAACAGTCCAAAACCTTTAAGACCAGGTTTTATTCAGGTACAAGCTCTCCCTCCTCTGCGAGGACAGATCTGCACGTCCCGTCCCGTCCCCTTCAGTAGCTAGCAATCCAAAACAGTCCAGTGGAGCCAGAGCGGTGGGGTGTTGCCTTCTGACACACTTTCTGTGATGTCAGGGGGTGTGGCATATGCAAATAAGTTATGCTAATGAGCTCCCGCACCTCTGTTTCTACGGAATGACCCCTGGGCACAACATGCCTTGTGAGGCACACCGTTTGCCTGCAGAATTCCCTGCCACCAGATGTGACAGCTGCTAGCTCAGATGCCTTTGTAAATAGACCAGATGATGACTCAGTGGAACCCCTGCGTGGAGAAGTAGGCTACATCTGAGAAACCAGGCATAGCAGACAAATGCATCTGCCGTATGCTATTCTTGTGAGCGTATGAGGCACCTGGTTGGGGCAGTATTGAAGCAGCAACGAAGGGGAATGCTGTTGTAACATATGCACGCCATAGAGAAGGGTTGGGGAAGGGAGGGAGAGGTGCACTGTTCCTTTGGGCCCATGAAGAGGATTTGGGGGAAGAGGGGAGAAAGGTTCAGCAAGAGGGGGAGATGAGGGGATTCCTTTAACATGACTGCTCTTGCGCGGTTTAGGATCAAAGTCTTTTTTTTCTGCCATCTTCTAGAGCAGGGGTGGCCAAACTGGCTCGGGAGCCACATGTGGCTCTTTCACACATACTGTGGGGCTCCCGGCCGGGCAGCTGGGGAAGCAAAGGGGAGGCATGCCTCCCTGATGGGTGGTCTTCCCTTCCTTAGCCAGTGCTCCCCTCCCCAGTGCTCCCCTCCCCAGGTAGGCTGGGGAGCACTGGCTAAGGAAGCAGAGAAAGAAAGCAACTTTAACTTTAAATGTGTTCTCAAAGCACCCGCACACACTCCAGCTGGCTTGGAGAAGGCATGTGTCTCTTTAAACCCCTTCCCCAAGCCATCTGTTTGCTTCCTTTTTTCCCCTTCCCTCCCTCCCCTTCTGTTTGCTTTCTTTCCACCTTTCTCTTTTTCTCTCTCTCCCTTTCTTCCTTCCTTTCTTTCTCTCCCTCCCTTCCTTCCCCCTCCCTCCCCCATCTGTTTGCTTTCTTCGTTTCTCTCTCTTTCTTTCCTTCCACCTCTTTTGTTCTTTCTTTCCACCTCTCTCTCTTTTAGACAAATAAATATCATTAGTAAACAAATAAATATTATTGGGCAAATATTATCAATATCTGTTTTTACCCCTTTTTATTTTTGGTGGTCTCATTTAACGTTAATAAAAAGCAAATTTGCATATGTTTCAATAAAAAGTGTGTGTCCTATTCTATGTGGCTCTCACATTAAGCAAGTTTGGCCACCCCGTTCTACAGTCTTTCTTTTTGGAGGGGCAGAGGTGTTTTTTGGGGGAGCCGCCCTTGGAAACAGGGCACTGGGTTAAATAGGACTTTGAGCTCTGGTCCAGCACAGCAACTCTTGCCTTCATCGATCCTGCCAGGCAGTCTGTTCCAGGGAGGTTATCCCCTCAGTGGGTGCGGTCAGACGGTGTGCTGGGAGCGGTTTAAACAGCTACGGCCCTGATGCGGTCTTTTTTAACCTGGAGAATCATGATCACACTCACCTCCTTGCTCCGGATCACTGCGCAGCCACATCGCTCCCCGCCATCCAGACGTGGGAGCGTGCTTCGCTGTTGTTTTTCTCTCTCAGTTTGGGCATGCGCACAGGCAGCCATCTGTAGAACTAAAATTTTCACTCATGCAGAACAGTGATTTCCACTTCAACCCGGCTGCTGGGACACTTCCCTGTGGATAGCGTATTCCCATCCTCTGACAGCTGTTGAGCCGCTTGCTCTCTTTTCTCTGTTTCCTACACACAGTTTGGTGCCCTCACTCCACTGGAACCCAGGCTGGGGAAGAAGCTGATCGAACCCTTGACCAACCTCATACATAGGTAAGTCGGTTGACTCTTCCCGGTTGGGTTGCCACTTCTAGGCTGTTGGCCGATGAGCCGTGTGTGCGTGTGGTCGACATCTCTCGACTCTCTTAGCGAAGCTTCGGGTCTACGAGCTGGTGCGGCCGCTTGCTCGTAGCCGGCCCCTGGGCATCATCTTCAGGGGCCTGCTTCTCTCGCTGTCATTGCCTTGAGCCAGTGTGCCACAAGCGGGCACAACAGCGCCACCCCCAGAATGCTGCTGTGGACGACGGGGAGAGCAGGAAGACGTGTCAGTAGACTAGAGGAGAAAGGGAAAGACGGAGCAGTTTCTCTGGGAGGTTAGCGGAAGGACCCGGCAGTGTCTGCTTTAATCCTCCTTTCTTTCTCAAACAGCCAGCGTGCTCTCTTCCAATTACCTAAAGCGGGTAAAGTTCATTGCAGCACAGTCAAAGATAAAAATGTAGTGGGCTTCCGAGAAATGCAGCCGAGCAGACAGTATGTATACTTCGAACCCACCCCTCTTTCCAGTCTCCTCCCCCCCCTCCTCCCATCGTAGTCGATTAGCTGCCGGGCCTTTCAGCCTACCACCTGTGAGATTCTCAGCTGATGTAAACCAAAACGATACAGTTGATTCTGCCTTAGCATATGACGCCTGGGGGTCAACGCCAGCTGCCCTCTGCTGCCTGGTGGTTCTAGATTTGTGGGAGACACATGTCGGACGCCACTTCCTGGAACAATTGACTGTTGTCTGCTAAATTGTTTTTTGAAGTGTTTCTGTTGCGGCACAGGCCAGTTGCTGCCGCTCACCAAACCAGTGGCCCGTTGCAGACATAATCCTTAGCTGTGCTTTGGCATTAACCTTGGCTTGTAGCTGTCACCCTGGTTAAGATACCCCAATGTGCCTTGAAGCCGTGGCCGACTGCGGTCCTGCTTCCTTTCCCTGCTTGTCATATCACAAGTGGCCGGAAAGGTAAGAAGTGCCTTAACCCTGGTTTGCTTGGCACAACTCTTAACCATGGTTAATGTGAAATGTGATTTTTTTTTCAGACTCCCTTGGAACCATAGTTTCACATTGGCCAGTTGTGGCCGGTCTTTCCCCATGGCTTTCGTTGTAACCCTTTTGTCTGCAGTAGGCTGGAATGGGGCTCAGTCCCTGCAGCAGCAGAGAACTCGATCGCTCTGTTTTGTATGGGTGGATGGCTGAACACAGGGCTCAGTCCCTGCAGCAGCAGCAGCAGAGAACGCAAGCAGAAGAAGCAAAAGCCTCAGGTCCAGTCAATGATTTAACCCTTTCAAACTTCCCGCATTCAGGCAAACCCTTCAGCTTGACTGCCAAGGAGACTCTGTGATGTTTTGACAAACGTCCGGCCCCGTTCTAGAGCATGTTATTGTCTTGCCTGCCCTAGTATGGTTTTTCCCCCTGCCCTTCCTCCATGGAGCTTGGGGCACTCTGCCTTCTGCATTTTATCATCACAAGCCCGTTAGGTTAGATTACGCTGCATGGTTGTGCCACTGGCCCCCATGCTCCATGCAGGAGGCTTTGTGGCAGCCTGGGAATCCAGACCCTTGTCTCCCAGATCGTACTTTAACATTCTGGCCACTACACTACGAGAGCCAGTTTGGTGTAGTGGTTAAGTGCGCGGACTCTGATCTGGGAGAACCGGGTTTGATTCCCCACTCCTCTACTTGCAGCAGCTGGATGACCTTGGGTCAGTCACAAGTTCTCTCAGAGCTGTTCTCTCAAGGGCAGTCCTCGAAAGAGCTCTCTCAGCCCCACCCACCTCACAGGGTGTCTGTTGTGGTGAGGGGAAGGGGACGGAGTTTGTCAGCCGCTCTGAGACTCCAAGTGAAGGGCGGGGTATAAACCCAGTCTCTTCTTCTACACACTGACTCTGCACTGGCTGTCCTTTACCTGGAAGATAACCAGTTCTCCCCTACAGCTGGGTATGGGGTGTGTGTGGAAGGCAAGTCCACTGTTTGGGAGTAATCTGAGAAGCTTTCGAGGAGCTGCTGTGGTTTGCAGTAATGCTGTCAGAAGCCCCTTGGCTTAGCCACAGTTGCCGCTTGCAGCTTGAGCAGACTGCAGAGTTCATGTAGTCTCCTGGATTCACGTAGGAGAGAGTGTTCCGCAGCACAGGGGTCCCCAACGTGCTGCCCGTGGGTGCCGACCCAGCCATGGCTCCTGCCGAGTGTTTCAAAAAGTGGATGGAGCCCGTAGGGCTTTTGCCTACCAGGGTTTCTAGTTGGCCACAGGAGATCTGATTGGCTGTTCAGATTTTTTTTTTTTTAAGTTTCCTTTGGCAGCAGCTGCCACCACAGCACCAAGGATCTTCACTGTGTGACTGAAGGTAAGCTTGTATATGTTGCAAGGCAATACTTTAAAGTATGTTCATTTTAAAAGGCATCCTGTTAAAGGCGAACTTCTGCCTGAAACGTTGAAGAATTACTATTAGGGTTATGCGTAAGCTCACTCCCTGACCTTTTTGTCGTTGGCTCCTCCTCCTCACGGCAGCCGTTTTGTGGTTGTGCCCCACCGACGCGTGTCACAATTCCAGAGGTGCCCACAGACTGGAAAAGGTTGGGGACCCCCCTGCTGTAGCACTTCGTCGCCCGGAAACCATAATAGATGTCATGAAAGAGATACCAGAGCGATCTCAGAACGCGAGAGGGAGGGCAGGAAGGGTTGCACCAGGGCTTAGTTCTCGTGGCCCTTTCTTGCAATCCCAGGGAAATGCCAGTCGCCACTCTGGGGTCAGGAAGCAGTTTTTATCCAGGCCAGTTTGGCTGGAGATCCTGGAGGTTTTTTGTCATCTAGGCGTGAAACAGTGGTCACCAGGTGTGTGGGGGAGGTAGTTGTGAATTTCCTGCATTGTGCAGGGGGTTGGACTAGATGACCCAAGAAGAAGAAGAGATTGGATTTATAGTCCGCCCTTCACTTGGAGTCTCAGAGCAGCTTACAAACTCCTTTCCCTTCCCCTCCCCACAACAGACAACCTGTGAGATGGGTTGGGCTGAGAGAGCTCTGACACAAACTGCTCTTTCAGGAACAGCCGTGCCAAGGTCACATCAGCAGGTGCAAGTGGAGGAGTGGGGAATCAAACCCGGTTCTCCCAGATCAGAGTCCGCGCACTTAACCGCTACACCAAATTGGCTCTCAGGAGGTCCCTTCCAAACTGACTCCCAGGAGGTCCCTTCCAACTCTGTGATTCTGAGGACGGTGCCTGACTGTTGAATAAGCTGTTGACAATACTCACGACTGTTTTGTTGTTGTTTTGTCTTGATGTCACTGTACTGCCAACCCAACAGCCCTCAAGTCTTACCTGCCTTCCTCTTTAAAAGAATGGTGCTTCTCCAGAACGCAAAAAGGCCCTGGGGAGCGGGGAGAGAGGAGATGAGCTGGCTGCATATAGGCTAGGAGGACCTTGATTTTTTGAGAAAGGATCTGATCACTTTTTGAGCAGCAGCACTGTAGGGGCCAAAGCTCTGCGGCAATGACAGCGTTCGGTCCTTCTGGCACCACCCACTTCTCCACCCCATATGAGATTTGGTTTGTTGTAAGAAGCCAAGAGCCAGTGGGCTGGACTGGCACTCTGGTTTCCAATGGAACGTGGCCTGCTTTAGGTGACAGCGGATACCTGGCAAGCAGGGGGATGCGAGAAGTTCGGCATCTCTCCTGCCACCTGCCAGCATTGTCATACTGCCTGCCTAAAGTTGTTTTCGAATGGTAACTGAAAGTGAAGTCTTTGTGTTGCCCTAGTCTCTTGGCTTAGTGGAATTGTGATGTGGCTCCTCCATCCTTTCATCTCTCCCCCCCCCCCCCCCCCTCTTTAGTGGCTTGGTGACGGCGCCCAGACTT